CTTACTATCCACATTGAATAAGTCAACCACTGCCCTTAAGTCTTTCTCAAACATGGATGTCCTTTTTAGTCTTCTTATCCACTGCCATGTCCTGGTCAAGTAGTCATTAGCTGCCACCTGAATTTTTGGGACACTCTCCTAAATGACAGGCCCCCATTTGCCCACAGGATTCTAAGATCCTTCACATTCTGCATATTGCACCTTATATCCACACTAACTTTCTTCAGTGTCTCAACAAATCTTTCTTGTCCGCACAGTGTGCATCCTGGCTCTAGACTCAGCTCTCTTGAACAGACATGTGGGATGCCCCCAGAACTCACAAACTCCTTTGGTTGGAAGTTATGATAAACAACAAATGATGCATGAAAGGATCTGACTCAAGAGATTTGACTTGAAGCCCGCTGAAGGTGGGGAACACTCTGGATTGGGTGATTGGGAGGAAAAAAGAAAACTTGGTTTCTCCAACCTATTCTTCACACAAGATGTACATCAGTATTCTCCAAACCCACTATTAGATTACAACAGCTTGTGTGCCTGCTTTGGTGCCTGTAGGCACCAAAAGGTCTGTCCAACCTCAGAATCCATCAAGCTGCTAGGTAGAATGTTGAACATCTTATACCACAGTTCTGGGCCTATGGTCCTATGATCATGCTGCTGGCACATTCTGCTGTGGAATTTCAGAATTTTCACCAGGTTTTTTAAGTCTTTCAGTGGTTTCATGTTTCAAAGCCTGATTTTCACTACTACATCCACATTTGAAGTTTTCTATCTATTCCTTTGTATCCTTTACTGAAAATAACTTGCCCCTCCATTTCTGATAAAATATTTCAGACCTCACATTAAACACACTTCCTCCAGTTTTCTTTGGTTGTAAGGAATCTCCCTGCTCTGATATCCTAAGGGTGTCTTATTTACATGTACATTCCTACCTTGCTTCAATTCCTTTGGCATCTGTTTTCTTGACTGGATCTAGAACCCTTGGAGGGTAGAGTGTGCGTCTCAGCTAGTGTATAACTGCACCCAGCAGCAGGTACAATGGGAATGTTAGCCTTCCCCACACTAGGTGCTCATACAAGTGCCTGTTGCCCTGGATGCAAAGCTTTCCGATTACATTGCTCATTTTTAGGTGCCTCGCAATGTGGGCCGGACACAGGTCACACAGCCTGGGGAGTCTGGACATTTCAGCCAGTCGCTAGGGAGCTCTGTTTCTCCCTATCCAGCTCCAAAGGGTCGTGTACGTGAAGGAAATGGGGGTCCGGCACCTTCTCAGTTTCCACCATGCCGATCTCCGATCCCAGAAGGCCTCGATCCAGTCCGAGCGCTTCTGGAAAACTCGAGTCGGCGGTGCGCGAGATACGGGGGCCTCTACCACAGTTGCACCTCCCACTCGCGGCTGGTTTAATTTATTTATTTTTATTTTTTTCTTGGAGGGAGGGGGCGTTCAATGAAGGGGAAGAGGCGGGGCGAGGAGAGGAGGCGGGCCGAGGGTGACTGACGTGAGCGCCAGGGAGCCAATGGCCCGCGGGGGGCGTTCCTCCCCATTCAGTACTCCTCGCCGGGCTCGGAAGGTATGTTAAACAGCTGCTTTTAATTTGGTCCCCCTAATCTCGGGCGTTTGGGGGGCTAGCTCGCCAGCCTTTCGTTTTGGCTGGCTTGATGCGGTGTGGGCGCTGCGAGTCCTGGGACTCGGCGGGGGGAGGCTCGGAGTCCCGCAGCCGAGGTAGGCGAGGGGCAGGCCAGGAAAGAGAGTCTTGGCGCCGCCCGCTCGCCAGTGTGTGTGTTTCCAAGCCCGGCTGGAGCCGAGGGGAGGGGGTATGCCCGGCCTGGGGTCGCCCATGCGCCGGCCGCGCCGCCTAGTTTATTTCACCGAGCAGTCGGTTTCGGTAGGTTTAGGCGGCGCACTGGGGATTGGGGCCGACAGTAGGAGATCCTCCGCTCCGGTTATTTTTTTAAAGAAATGTTTTGTAAAAAAGGGGGGTTCTGTGCACTGACTGGAACAGGGGCCTGGCTGTGGCGCGCGGGCTTGGCAGGGGGCGGCGGCCGGAGCTTGGTCCGCCGGGCCCACCGATCCCTTGGCGCCCGGAGTTGGTCGAGAGCTGGAGTTAAGCTAGCGAGCCGCGGCCCGCCGCTTTCCCGGGTAACCACGCCAGCAAGGGCGGCAGCCGCCAGAAGGTTTTGTTTCTGCCCGCAAACTTGTCGTAGGGGGCGGTGGGCGCGCTCGGAACAGGCGCGGGCGCATTGGGCCCGCGGTTGTTAAGGACTCTGGGGGCGGGGGCAACGCCGGACTTGCGGGAGGGGAGCTTGGGGGCGGGAGAGGTGCCGGAAAGAGCCGCCTGCGCCTCGCCACTAGCCCCGCGTGCCGCTTTGGGCTCCCTGAACTCCTGGGCCAAAGCAGTCGAACTAACATTCGGCTTCGGAGTCCGTCAGGCCGCGGGCCGGCACAGAGCTCAGGCCGGGGGTGTGGAAAACCTCCAGGAGCTCGGCGGATTCGACTCGCAGCCCCAGCTGATCCCCTTGCAAACATGGAGCTGCCTCCTTCCCCGCCCACCCCAAGGCGGCGGCGGCCGCTGCTGCTGCTCCTTTCCCCTCCCCCGACCGTGCCGGACTGCCGGGCTCCCTCTTCCCGCGAGGTGCCGCGGCGGGCAGCAAGACCCAGGAGGGGGCGGGGGGCTAGTATGCGCGCCCACAAGGTTGGGGGGGGGGGTCTGAAAGGGGCAGTGAAGGTCGGAAACTGGGAAAACAGTCTCCACGTTCAGAATCGGGAAAAGGAAATGCATCAGCGGGCGGGGAGGGGCGCAGGGGGCGCGCCTGTCAGCCGGGATGGCGGCCGCGGTTGGAGAGGCGGAGCACCGGCGTCTGGCGGCGCAGCGATGGGACTAGAAGCGAAAGACCGCTCCTTGGAGTGCTGTGGGGCTACCCCTGCCTCCACTTCTCGGCCCAGACTGTTTACTATCTACTCCGCCGGTGCCTTGTGCAACCGGCCTGGAGAGGACCCGTGGGGCGGGGCTGTTTCCTCTCTTCCACCCACCTCAGGCTCCAAAAGAACCCCCGCCTCCTCTTGTCTTCCACTGGTTGGGAGAGAGTCCCTTTTTCCCATCTCGGATATGGATTGGATGGCATTCTCCTGAGCTCCGCCTATCCGGAGGCTGGGCTGGAGTTTAAGTTGCTAGGATTCTCCCCCCCCACCCCCATGAAGGGCGGAGGAGGATTCTCCTGGCTTACGTGCAGCGCAAGGTCCCGCCCCTGCGTCTGGTTGGAGGAATGGATAAGCCCGCCTCTCCCGCAGACGGAGCTTGGAGGGGGAAGTCCAGCCGTGTTCTCCGCCCTTCTCCCTTCGCTCGGGAGCGCGCTCTGCACATGTGTGAGGCCCGCCTAGCTCCTTCGAACTGCCCTCCCGCCCGGAAGTCCTAGACTCGGCGCCCTTGGCGAGGGGGGCGGGGAGATACGAGGAGGCACACAAAGATTCCTCTGAGGCTGGAGATCTGGTAGACTTCGGGGTGACTGAAGCTCGGGGATTATGGGTGGAGTGGATTTGGGGCGCGTAGCTCTGGGGTTCTTGAGGCGCTGAGATCAGGGCGTGGGCTCTCCCCTCTCGGGCCAGGGAGAAGTACTAAATTTATGTGGTGGCCTGGCTGTTTCCACGCTCCTTAACTTTCCTGAGCTTAAAAGCTCGAGAAGGCTGCCCATGATAGCTTTGTCTTTTCTACTCTGGGCAAGACAGCCGCGTCAGTAGTTGGCTTTATCTAAAGCTCTGACCACCTTGGTTTGAAACCTTAGGCAAGATCCAGGGCAGCCCGTCCCCTGTGGTCAGGGGATATGAGGGCGGCCTAATTCTGGCGCGGGTTCAGAGTGGTTTTTTGATGTCCAGGTGCGACTGCCATGTGGTACCCAGTCTAGGGAAGGAAGGCGGCCGGAGTTAAAAGGTAGCCGTTGGTGAGTGCTGAATATCGCGTCTTAATAACTTCCGAGAGTTTATGAGGCCCCGAGGGCCACCTGGGGTCGCTTTCTTTAGTCCTTACTTTTTAGTGCCTTGTCCCGAGGTTACTGGCGAAAGGCTGCTCCCACCTGTCGGCCACTCGTGGAGTTCACAGCTCACTGCTGTGGACTCGCGGCTGGAAGCCCTCCTTGGAAATCAGACCCACCTGTTGCCAGCCCTCGTTTTGGGCCGTCTCCGCGGAATTGCGGAAGGATGACAGTATTGGATCTAAGAATTGAGTTCACTGGGGCCTTTTGAGGAATTCAAGTCGATGGGGAATGTATCTTTTTTGCTGGAGAGAGCGGGAAGACTAGTCCCGCCCCTTCTCCTGACGCCGCCAGAGCGTCCCCCAAAGCAAGGCCAGTCAGCGTCTGGCCCAAGCCCTGTTTGGTTAATAAATAAAAGCAACTAGGTATCTCAAGCACTTTGTCAATCTATGTGTTGGAGGCATTATTATCTACACAGGGAACCTAGGGACTTCCATTAGCACACCTTGGCAAGGATGAGATAAACAGCTCCCTTTTTATAGATAGGGTTTCGATTTGTTGCCCAAGCTAGACCAAAGCCCTGGGTTCAAGCGATCCTTTTGCTTCAAGCATCCAGGGTAACTGAAACTACGTACGCTGGCCGTGAACAGCTTTTCTTATCTCTTGACCCCAACCCTGAAATTTTTATCCGTTCTCAGTGTGAATATATTCAAGGTTCATTCATGCCATGGCCTGTTTTGGTCTCTTCCTCCGTATCTGAGTTCCTCCAGTCTGAGGATGCCTCCAGATCTGCCCTAGAGATCGCGGAAAACATTAGGCCCCGCCTCCCGGAGGCTTGTCAGGGCGGTGGCTTTTAGGGGCCGCCCTTTGGTTATCTCCGCCCTCTTAGGACTACATATTCAGGTTCAGGGAATGTTCAGAGAGTTAAGGTGCAGCCACCCTATCGTAGGGGTGGCAACCCCCCCAGGTTATTTCTCGGCTTGGGCTCCAAGCCTTAGTTCAGTACTCCACTTACTGAAAGGAGCTGCCGGCCGCTCTAGATATTTGTGCTTACAAGGAGACAGCATGTATAATTGTGAAGATAACTGGGTGGGAAGGATGAGGTTCTTTCATTGTTTTGGTAAGGGAGTCCTTCAGAGCAGTAATATTACCGCCTTTCCCCTTTAGATCCCAGGGCCTCGGGTCTCGGGTGCTGAGACTCGTTGTCACCTCCTGCCCCAGGCCTTCGAACTCTGAGCTTCACTCTCTAGTGTAAACATTCCACAAAAGGACTGCTCAGGTTCAGTCTTCTCGCGCAGGGCGGAATCAGCTTCCTGGACAGGCGAGGTGTCCAATGGAGGTTCCTACCGGCGTCAAGATATCCAATCCGACTCTTGGGGCGGGGCCTGGCCGGCAAGTGTGGTAGGAGGAGCCTGTTTCACTTACAGACATTTTACCCCATATCGGTTACTTACCTTCCTGGGGCGGTGTGAGAGCCAAAGGTAGCCTTCCAATGCAATGACCGGCGGAGGCGGGAGCCGATTTCTTAGGCCTGTGGCTTAGGCAGCACGGGGCGGGCTACTTTGTGTTCTCCAATGAGACTTGAGGAGCTTCCCTTCTTCCTCCAATAGTATTGCGCCTTGGGGGTGGGATTCAGCAATCTGTCTCCAATAGGCGGGGTTGAGTTAGGGACGCTCCCCGCCAATAGGGGCGTGGAGAAGGTGAGCAGCTCGCCCTCCCCTCACAGCCGAGGGGGAAGGGGCGGGACGTCGGTAGGCGTGGCTCAGTGATTGGTTAAGCCTTTGACGGATGGGTAATGTGTCCTTTGGCGGAGCTAAGCTGAGCCTTCCCTTGGCGGGGCGGGCCGGGGGAGTGGGCGGGATTTCCCGGGTAACAGAGAAGCGGCCGCGGCGGTAGAGGCGGCGGAGACGGTTTCTCCATCTTCCCCCTCCCCTTCCCCCCTCGGAGTTTCCCTCCCTCCCTCCCTCCCTCCTTCCCAGTCTGGGCACCTGGGTCTGTGACCGCTTCGTGAGAGGAGAGGAGACTGCCAGCCCGCTTCGGCGGGCCTGTGTCCCGCGCCGTTCTCGGGGCCTCCCTGCTGAGTGCGAGGCTCACGCTGAGACGGACACGCAGTGCTGAGCGACCAAAGGAGCTTTGCGGTGAGAGCACGCTGGGCCGAGCTCCGGGCGGCAGCCTGGGTGGCGGGTAACGCGGGACTCGAGGGCGTGTATTTTTAGGGGGGGCCTGACCTCCTCGGCTTCCCGTAGAGCAGACGGGCGGGAGGTGTGTGAATGTGTGAGGGGGGTGGGGGGCGGAGCGGGGCAGCTCTCCGTGCGGGAGGGGGAGGAGAGCGTAGTCCCGGTGCGCGCGGAGGGGGCGGGCTCTCGCGCCGCCGCTCAGAGGCGGGGCTGGCGCGCGCGTGCGATGGTGGAGAAAGGGGCGGGGCTGGCGCGCGCCAAATGCTGTTTGCGACAGGCCACCCCCCTCCAGTCCTGGGGCTGGGCGGAGCCTCGGGCTGGCGGCCGCCCTCTGCTAGGGTAGGGGGACTGGAAAAGGGTCTCTAGCTTGTGGCTTCTGGGCGCGGCAGGGAAGGGGCGTGAAGTCTCCGTTCCTCTGCATTCTCGGGATCCGGTTGGCCAGAGGGCCGTCCAGAACGCCGATGCCACTCCCCTTACGCCCCCGCGGGGTTTCCGCCTCTTTGGAAATGAGGCGGTGCTCGGGAAAGCCCGCTGTCGGGTCTGGCTGGGAGTTGCGGCTCCTAGATCTGCCCCGCCCGCAATGTCTCGGTGGGTGGGAGGGGCCCCTATTGACTGGAAGCTGTGGAAAGGTGTCAGGACTTACTCTTGTGGCTCTGCCATGCCTTCTGCCCAGGGCACGAGGGCTGGAGGCCAGAACTGTTGTCTCTTCTTTGCTCCGTGTAGCGTGGATGACACTATACAGCTAGGAGAGTGGGTGTATGGCCGTTGGAACTTATCTTCTGGTTGTAAATATTGGGATGAGGTGCTCAAGGAACCTTTCATAGGAGTGTCTGCGGCCGGTGCTGTTACCACGCTTCCGCGGTGGTGGTGTGGGGGAGGGGCGGAGAGTCTTCAGGGACTAGAAATGTGGCCAGGGACAACCTTTCCTGGAGTTCCCTTGATGTTCAGTTACTGTGGCGGCGGGGCGGCGCTTCGTTTGCACCAATGGGATGGTGGGTTGGTAGGTAGACTTGGTGACTGTTTTGATGCCTTAGGACTTTAAACCCAGTTAGCCATGCAGAGGGAGAGGAAGCTCTTCACAAGGTTGAGGTTTATTACAGGAAGGGTCGGGTTTACATTTCAGTCTCCTCAACTGATCTGTTTATGAAAGGTTTTTATTTTTTAAAATTATTTATTTTTGGTTTTTGGTGCTGGGGATTAAAACTAGGATACAGCTTAGCACTAGCTTTACCACCAAGGTTCAGTGCAAGTCCCAATTTTTATTTTTTAATTCAAAATTTGGACTAAAATGCTCTTAATTTCTTCAACACTTGCATCGTTTAATGCTGTCACTGTAATGATGGTTCTAATACATAAACATAGCTTCACAAAAAATAAGTTGTAGTTTAGATAACTACAGGTGAAAGAGAGTAAGGTGAAGTCTGGAATAAGGAAACCTTTATATAACTCCTGTAGCATTGCCCTCTAACCCTGTGTTGGAGAGTTACTCTAGGACATTGCAGATTTAATGTATAGGTAACCACATTAGATGAGGTTTTTGTCTGGTTTTGTTACAAGCTCTTTCCCTATTAAGAGAATTACTTGTTTTTGACATTTTCCATGAGAAAATAAGCATGGAATCATTATTCAATGACTCTGAGTGAGTCTGTAATTAATTAAACTGAAGTTAAATTCTAGATTTGTGCTTTTCCCAGTAGGGATTGAAAATTTGATGTCCTTTGTCAGGGTCTGAACTAGGGTACTATTGTTTGAGCCTCCTAACCCTATACTTCAGTTGCCTCTTGTCTAAGTTTAGGGAACAAAGAAGGAGCAGTGTGCTTTTTAAAAAAGTTTTTAACTGGCAAAATACACATAATGTAAAATTACCATTTAAATAATTTTAAGTATATTTTAGTGGTATTAAATGCATTCACATTGTTTTGCAGCTCTTACCACCATCTCTTTAGAATTGTTTTATTTTCCCAACTGTAACTTTGTACCAGAGAAGCAAATCTCTTCTTCTATATCCCCCAGTGTTGGCTACCACCATTCTACTTTTTTCTAAATTTCACTACTCTAGGTACCTCATAACACTCTTTGACATTTGTAACTGGCTTATTTTGCTTAGCATAATGTCCTGAAGATTCAACCATGATGTAGCATGAGTCAGAATTTTCTCACATTTAAAGGCTGTATATATATGCCACATTATGTTTATTCATCTGCCATGGACATTGGGATTTTTTTCCCCTTTTTTGCTTTTATTAATAATTCTGCTATGAACATGGGTGTATAAATATCTCTTCAAGTCCTTGCTTTCAGTTCTATTGGATATATATTCAGAAATAGTATTACCATAATCATATGGTAATTCTGTGTTTAATTTTTTTGAGGAACAACTAGTGTACTTTTTTGGGGGGGAGATACCAGGGATCGAAACCAGGAGTGCTTAACCACTGAGCCCATATCCCCACACCTTTTTATTTATTTATTTATATAATTTTTTTAAATATTTATTTTTTAGTTGTAGTTGGACACAATACTTTTATTTTATTTACTTATTTTTATGTGGTACTGAGGATCGAACCCAGGGCCTCTCGCGCATGCTAGGCGAGCGCTCTACTGCTGAGCCACAACCCCAGCCCCACCTTTTTATTTTTAAGGCAGGATTCCACTAAGTTGCTTAGGGCCTCACTAAGTTCCTGAGGCTTGCCTCAAATTTGGGATCCTCCTGCCTTAGCTTCCCATGCCAGTGGGATTACAGGTGTACTCTGCTGTGCCCAGCCACTAGTGTACTTTTGCAAGTTGTTTTGAGGAGAAAAAATTGGGACTCGGGTTCTAAGACGTAAATTGTCTCAACACTCATTTCTTTTTTAAAAATATTTATTCTTAAGTTTTTAGGTGAACACAATATCTTTATTTTACATTTATGTGGTGCTGAGGATTGAAGCCAGTGCCTTGTGCATGCTAGGCAAACACTCTACCACTAAGCCACAACCCCAGCCTCAAAACTCATTTCTTTATTACCTGCTTAATACATCTGGATTGACACAAAGTTTGTTGTCTCCAAGAAATTAACATTTTTATAAAGTAAGACAGGCAGATGAACGGTTTCTACTGTACATCAATGAATGGTGGGTGCCATAAGAATCAAGTACAAAGTGTTTAAGGATTTCAGAGGGGAAAGAATCTATCTTAGAGGCGGAGGAAGAGGAGTCACTGCATGAGAAACAGGAGGGAGCAGTGTGACATCATAGATCCTCTTGAAGTAAGTTGTTAAATATCCTTAGGCGGGCTGGGAATGTGGCTCAAGTGGTAGCGTGCTCGCCTGGCATGCGTGCGGCCCAGGTTCGATCCTCAGCACCACATACAAACAAAGATGTTGTGTCCGCCGAAAACTAACTAACTAAATAAATAAATATTTTTTAAAAAATATCCTTAGACATCTCTTTTTTTTTTGAGAGAGAGAATTTTAATATTTATTTTTTGGTTTTCGGCAGACACAACATCTTCATTTGTATGTGGTGCTGAGGATCGAACCCGGGCCGCACGCATGCCAGGCGAGCGCGCCACCGCTTGAGCCACATCCCCAGCCCCTTAGACATCTCAAAGTGTCACTTGGGAATCACTTTAGGAATGTTAGAAGGGGTAGTATCATGTTGAAATTGAATTCTCTTGTGAAGTTACTCTTCCAGTGTTTGTGAATTGCACCATCTTCACTTTGCAGACCTGATCCTTTCTATTACTTTGGAAGGTATTTAGGAATCACATTAAAGAAATTATGGATTTGGTGTGTATGTGCTTGATTATGGGGCACTTACCCCAGCCTTGGCTGGAAGAGGGATATGGTGCACAATAAGTGCATTATATAGCCAGTGGCCTACTTTATGTTTCCTCTTGAACAAACTAATCAGCATTCTTGACTCTTCTTTCTTATTTTTTCATATGTTGAACATCCCAAATCTCATTTGCTCTATGTTCAAAATATTATGAAGAATTGGACCACTTAGTATCCCCACCTCCCCCACATCCTCAATCAGTGTCAGCAGCATCCCTAGCAAGGATTCTGTTTGCTTTGTTATTGCCCGTCTTTAGTCTGTTCTCAGCATAATGACCCAAGTGATTCTTTTAAAACCTAAGACCATGTCACTTCTCTGCTTAAAACCATCCATTGAGCAGGGAATGGTGGCATAGGCCTGTAATCCTAGGCTGAGGCAGGAAGATTACAAGTTTGAGGCCAGTCTGGGCAGTTTAGCAAGACCCTGTCTCAAAAACTAAAAAGGGCTGGGGATGTAGCTCAATGGTAGAGTGTTCCTGGTTCAGTCCCCCAAAAGAACCATTCAACGGCTTCCTCTTTCAGTCTTGAGTATTATATCCAAGTCCTTATTATAAACTGTAAGAACAAGTCTGATACCCTCTTTGGCTATGTTTCCTACTAATAGTCTCCTGATTGTTTTCTAGCTGTATAACCTTGCTGTTTTGGGAAAATACCAAGTGTTTGTATGCCTGAGGGTCTTTGCATTTGATATCCCCTTTGCCTAGAAAGCTTCCTCACTGATTTCTACATGGTTGGCTCCCTCAGTTCCTTTACCCATAACTTACCTTTTTTGTGAGAGATTCTTTGGCAGTTATATACAATTTCAAGAATGCTTTCCTGCCTTTTTTTTTTTTTCCTTAGCATTTGTCACTGATTTTTTTGTGTATTTCTCTCCAAAATGTAAGCTGCTTCTTTTTTTTTTTTTTTTTTTAAAGATAATATCTTTTTTGTAGATGGATACAACACAATGCCTTTATTTTTATGTGGTGCTGAGGATCGAACCCGGGTCCCGCCCGTGCTAGGCGAGCGCTCTACGCTGAGCCACAATCCCAGCCCCAGATTCAGTATTTTTTGAACAAGAATCAAAAACCATTCCAGTTTTCT